GGCCATCGAGGGAAATTTGCGAAATCCGCCCGTTACGGAAAGTCTTTTTGGACGTTGGCATTTCTTGTTTTTTCTCGTTCCACATGTGCTATATACCCCAACCCCTCCCCCCTCTCACGCCGCTCTCATAGGACGGCAAATTTTTAGGGAAAACTGGGGAAACTTCGGAAAATGTTGGTAGGAGGGTGGGATACTCTATAAGAGTTTGGATGGGGAATGGGGAGGTGTCGCAGCAAAGGACAATTGGGAGTGGGGGTGAGGTGTTGCAATTTCCGAAAATTCTCCTCAGCGGCAAGACGTGCTCTGCTGACAAAGCGCGTGATTTGTCGCTGGTTCCGCGCGCCGTATCACTGGCGATAAGCGGTGATTTTCAATGCGCACAATTTGTCAATTGGAGCAGCGAAACTGGTACGAATTTTAGCGGAGACGAGACTCCATGACGAGCGATATCGGGTTCTTCCGTTCTTCACACTCAAATTTGGACAGCCAGGCGGGGCAACTCTTCTCACGCGCGCGGCGTGGCTGGTCACACACACCAGAGCGGCACATTACGATTGTGTTGTCACATACCGTGAAGAAGCTGGACAGTCGGAGAAACCATGTGGAGTGATCAACATCCACCCAGTGGGGTCAGAATGGACACCAAAATTCCATATAATCACCCGTCCACCTTGCTTATGACACCCACTTGTTTTCATCAGTGTGACCTAGTACACCTCTCGTCAACCACTACCATTTCTACGTGCTTTTCCTGCGGACCCTTCCAAATGCTCTCAATCGGTTCCCTAAGATCCCTTGAGATTGTGACACTTCTGTAGCTGGACAGTGAGTGACGAGAGTGTTGCGGCCATCACAACTTGAAGGTATTTACGGTACCTTCAAGATTCGAGATTTGTTAACGACAATGTCTGTAAGGTCAGGTGTCGTTTATTCCGTGGGAGAACAACCCATAGTCTCAGTTATTTTTCAACTTGTTCCCATATGTACAATGTGGTGCATGCAATTTTTCGTTAGCGTCTTTTTTTCGAGAGTAGGACATGTAGCAAAAAGCAATTCATTCCACAAGGAAGGATGCGTTTTGACGCCGCTGCTATTCACTAGTGATGCAGTTTTGCTGCAATAACTCCTTGGACCCCAACATTTCATACACGATAAACGGCTCACTCACGCCGAAGTCCTCCTCACCTCGGAAAAGCCTCTTCCCTGGCGGCGCTAACGTAGTCGAGCAGGCAGGGCACATCATTGGTTGAGAATTTAGTCGAGTCCGTACGACCCTACCCCCTCTTTTTTGAGGCTTGATACCGCACCTCCCCCCCCCTCCGGCCTTTTTTGAGGCTTGATACCACACCTCCCCCTCCCTCCGGCCTCCTGTCCCTCCTCATCGGAGCCGCCGAGCGCGGAGGGGGAGGATAAATAGCTCATGTGAAACAGGAGAGTCACGAAAAGTCACCACCCACTCCCAAGCACTCCTAGAAGGCAAAAAGTAAATACGACCTTCCCCCCTCCCAACAATGAGCAAGTACGACCCTCCCTTTTACAACGTCCGTGAAGCGAGAAAAATCAACTATCAAAATAAATTTTTCTCAGCCCAAATACGACCCCCCCTCTCCTGGCGGCCAAATACGACCCCCCCCCTCCCTCCCCCCCGTGTTGGGGATTCCCCAACAACAATGTGGGATACGCAGCAGCGCCTCTGCGTCCATTCCCACAACCAAGCTTGGGGTTGCAGCACCGATAATCAGAGTCGCATAGAGACTGTGCTCTACCAGCATGCGGCGATTGAGCCCCCGGCTACTATGGTCTTTTGTGCTCCAGCCCTTACACTTGATTGGAGGCAGAATCGCAGAAGTGCTGCTGCGTGGCCTACTCAACTTAGTTAGCATCTCCTGGCCCGCCACGTTTCGATGTTTCGCCAGCTATGCCTTCTGCGTAAAGGGTTTCGCTACAGAGTCATGCTGAAAAGACCATGGTAACCGTCCCAAGGGATAAAGTACAAGTAGCCCGTAGAGCCCGTTATCAGTGGAACACTCCAAACACACGTCCCAAACCACCAGTTAAGGAAGCATATAAAGCTATGAAAGCTTTTCGTAATTGAAACTCGACCATTTAGATGCTGCTTCACTTTTTGCGGAGTTGATCCGGACGAAATGGACGAAAAGATGTGATTGTGAACCATTTGAAATGCACGTGAAACATCGCTTGAAGTTTGCTGCGGACAGTACATGTGATTTTACGGCGTAAAAGTCCAAGTTTCTGTTCGCGCAAGTTGTGATTGTCTTTATTTAGAATGTTTTGCGTAAAACCTCATTCTTACGGCAAAACGAATTGTGACAGTATTCTTCAAGTTATGGATCACTTGAATTTGTTGGACTTATCTTAGCATGGTGCCAAATTTCCACTTCTTGTTACTTTCGAGCTCATGGAATGCCATATGTATACTTGAATTTTTGCTTAGTGCTTCTTTTTCGTGATTCGATCTGACTCTTTGTTGGTTATTTATCGAAGCCCGAGTACATATCGTTAACAAGTAGCCACTAACCGCACAGAAACGTCTTTTGAAGAAAGTGTTTGCATGATGGTAAAGACTGTGTAACAGTTCCGTTGAAAATTTCAATTCTGTACAAAATGTTCTGTTTGATACTTCCATTCGAGTATTCGGGAATGAGCATGATTGCAGTGAGTGAGCTGACTGAAGCAAGTTCGAAGTTCTCGTGCGGTGTTTCTCCATATTTGTTCGCTAAATTTGAAGCTTTGCCTAAGCTGACCAGTACTACTCCAGTGTATTGAACAAATGCCCTTTGTTTAGTTTTTCTGCTCAGTAACCGATCAACTGAAACTTACTTCCTTCTCTTCTGCTCACCGGGTCTCAGGATATTTTTCAACTGCGAAGCCTTTCTCCTCCTTTTCCTGCCCTCATTTTCTATGCTCTCCTATTTATTTTCCTCCCTTCTACCTCTTTTCTTTTACCGAATGCTCAGGCAGGGGATGCCATGTGAAAACACCTCTGGCCGCTCGCAGCGAGAGAACATCCGGTTGACAGAAGCCCAGTAATCGTACTTACCTTCATCCAACGTACTTCTATCGATTTTCTTAGTCTCAAAGTCAATTTGTACTTTCTGAGTGGCATACCTTCTGTTAACTAGACAAGATCACTTGAAGTTGTGACGCTGCGTTCATACTTTGCGTTTCGAGCGTAGGCGCGGCGTTTGAAGCGTTTTTAAGAGGCGACAGGAAGGTTATAGCTATCGAGTTAGAGTCCGCCAACGTACATAGCATTTTGAGCATTTTAGGGCAGAAAGGATAGCCATGAAGCGTTTTGAGCGACGGCCCGCCAACTTAAAATTGCACGCGAAAACGCCCAAAATGCGTTAGATATATACTTTACGGGCGCAGTATTGTCGACTCGGGGGGGGGGGGGGGGTGTCGAGCAGAGGGGAAGGGGGTATTCCGCCTATTGTCATAGAAGTGGCCGACGCCATACTAGGTTAGGCCCTTTCCGTCGGAGTTGACACGTTTTTAGTGATGGTGTTAGACCGATCTTGGTCGGCAGCTTCACGAGGCGGTCACAAGTTTTACATTGGTAAGATTCGTAAAACGCCAAGGAACTCAGGGAAGCAATGTTAGTACAAAATGCCTCCCTTCCCCCCCCCCCGCGTCGCTGAACCAGGCGCCACTAACAGTGCTAACGTAGTTGAGAGGGCCTCGCGGCGAGCGATGACTCATCGACATACTTGAAACGCGAATCTAGCAGCCAAATCAGAACAAAACAAACGAGATTCACCGGGA